GGTGCTTATCGAATTGAAGGGATTGAAATCAAAGGGCAACAGATATTAGAATCTGATTCAATAAACCAAGTAAAATTAGGCTTTTATTTATTTTTGTTGTTGTTGTTAATGCTCACGCAAAATTCAAATCTTGCGTGAATTTTGGGGCACCCTTTAGAACCGCGGTGGCCGGCCTTTCGGACCTCATGGCCCACCGGTGGCGACGGCTGTTCTGGAACGGGTGACGGCCTCAGGCCGCCGGCCGTGCTGGGTTGCAACAGCCCGTCGTAAGGCCACAGGGGACCGGGTGCAGGGAAAATGCCCCCAGAGCTTCACCTCGTCTCTAACCTGAGGGTGCTGAGGCCATGTGATCGGTCCCCGTTGGGTTCTGGGAAGGAGCCTAGAAAGAACTCTAAGGTTTTAGAGAGGCCGGTGACAAAGGCAGTTTCTATTTATTTTATTTTATTATTATATTTTTTAAACCCTCACCCGAGGATATTTTTTCAGTTGATTTTCAGAGAGAATGGAAGGGAAGTGGGGGGGAGACATAGATGTGGAGAGAGACGCATTGATGGGCTGCTTCCCACACACGCCTGATTGGGGCTGGGGAACCAGCCTGCAACCAGGTCCTGCCTGGACCGGGATCGAGCCCCAGGCCCGCCCGTCTAACACTGAGCACACGGCCAGGGCCGTTCTTATTGTTTAAAGACGGTATTGCGCCTCCCTCTCTATTTGTCTAATGGTGAGAGCACTTTCCTGGCGTGGGCTTGAGGCGTTAGGGACGGAAGGTGGGGAGGCCTGTGGAGCCCCCTGCAGACGCCAGGGGGAAGGTGGACGCCCTGGCAGAAGGCGCTCCCTGCAGGGGCCCGGGGCTCAGAGCCGCATCCAGCCCCGCAGGCAGGCCTGGCAGGAGTGCATGGCCCCACATTCAGATGCGTTACACCAGGACCCGGGGCTCAGGGACGAGGGGAAGAGAGAAGGAGCCCCGCGCCTCAGGCTGATCTCAGACCTCCCTGCGCCCGGGGAGCTGCTGGGGAGCTGCTGGGAAGCTGCGGAGCAAGTCAGGCCGGTCCAGGCATGTGGCTCTGTTCTGGCCTCCATCGCCCCCTCCCCCTGCTGGGCCTGCAGCCGTGAGGACGTGGCCTGATCCGGGGGGACCCCAAGCCCGGCCCTGGGACTTCGCAGGCTCAGTGCAGAGCAGAGAGCAGGACACAGCCGCCTGCACGGTGGCCGGGAGGGTGGGCATGGCCTGGGTGGCCCAGAGGGCGCTACTTGAGGGCCCATCTCCAGCGCAGTTGTAAGGACGCTCCGAGGCCCCCCAGGCTTCCAGCCACTGCGCAGACTCCCGCTGGGAATTCTCAGCCCCGCCCCTCCACAGGTGGACTGGCCAATGGGAATTCTCAGCCCCGCCCCTCCACAGGTGGACTGGCCAATGGGAACTCTCAGCCCTTCCTCTCCAGGTGGACTGGCCAATGGGAACTCTCAGCCCTTCCTCTCCAGGTGGACTGGCCAATGGGAATTCTCAGCCCTGCCCCTCCACAGGTGGACTGGCCAGTGGGAATTCTCAGCCCCGCCCCTCCACCAGGTGGACCGGCCAATGGGAATTCTCAGTCCCGCCCCTCCACCAAGTGGACCGGCCAATGGGAACTCTCAGTCCCTCCCCTCCACAGGTGGACCGGCCAATAAATGCTGGGGAGGAAGCGGGAGCAGAGGGGTGGGAAAGGGTTAGGGGGCTCGGAGCTCGGTTATCTGGGTGTCTGGGCGCCTCTTCATGTGCGTAAAGTCCACCCGTTAGGCTCATGAGCCCCTGGCATTCCACCACTTGGGGGGGGGAGCTTGTTAACCATTCAGATTCCTGGGCCCGTGGCAGACCTGGATCCAATGTCTCCTCTTTTTTATTTTTAAGGGAGAGGGAGAGAGAAACAGGAACATCAACGACGAGAGGGAGTCATGGATCGTCTGCCTCCCGCACGCCCCACGCTGGGATCGAGCTGGCGACTCGGGCCTGAGCCCTGACCGGACTCGAACCCTGACCTGGTTCATGGGTCAACGCTCAACCACTGAGCCACACCGCTGGGCTGTGCGCTTTTGAATTAATATTTTTATTCTCTCTCTCTCTCTCTCTCTCTCTCGCTCTCTCGCTCTCTCTCATTTTGAAGTAAAACAGGCACCCAGGTACCCAAACCTTAGACTTTGTTCATATACGTGTGTAGCCACGACCCAGCTCAGACCCGGGACCCGCTGCCACCAGAAAGGGCCCTCCACCCTCGGACACACCAGCTCCCAGGCGCCCGCTGCTCTGGCTTCCCTGGCACAGAGTAGTTGGCCGGGTGCCGTGCGCTTTCCTCGGAGCCCGGCTTCTCTCCCAGCACCTGCCTGGGAGACCCTCTGCCCAGCGCCGTGTGACAGTCATTCTCTTCCTTCCTGGGCTGTGTCCCGCGTGCGACTCTCCTGCAAATTCATTTATTCAGTCGGCTCTGCATGGTACCGGGTGCCTCCAGGTTTGGCTGTCACACTCAACCTAAGAAGGTTCCTATGGTGTCTTTTGTGCCCATAGGCGCTCCTCTCTGGTGGCAGTGGGTCGCTGGGTCGCTGGGTCAATGCTCGTTGGCTCTGGTAGGTACCTGCCTCCTCGTCCCCTCGTGGTGGTGTATTGCCGGCCTCCCCGCTGTAGCCCGTCCGGCTGTGCAGTGGGTCCCTCTGTGGTGCCCGCTTGCCCGGCCGGCTGGCTGATGACGCGAGAACCTTTCTGTGTGCTCAGGGCCACTGGCATTTCACCTTTGGTGAAGAGGCTGATCAAGGCCTTAAAGTTGGGTTGTGGGTCTTTCATTCTTGTTGACTGACGTGTAGGGGCATCTTGTTACTAACAGCCCCTCCCGGTGACTTAACACCGAAGTCAGGGACCCACCTCGCTGAAGCCCTCCTGAAATGGCCCCGTTTTCCTGAGGCCCCTCCCTCCCTCCCTCCCTCCCTCCCTTCTTTTGTTCCTTTTTTTTTAGACAGAGAGGAAGGGAGAGGGAGAGAGAGATAGAAACATCAATGATGAGAGAGAACCATGGACCAGCTGCCTCCTGCATGGGATCGAGCCCTCGACCCGGGCATGTGCCCTGACCGGGAATCGAACCGTGACCTCCTGGTTCCTAGGTCCACTCGACACTCAACCACTGAGCCACGCTGGCCGGGCTCCACTATCATCTTATCAGCACCACGACCTCGCCAGAGACGTGTGGCGTGAGGAAGGTGGACGAGAAGGGCGAGGTTCAGGACCGCCGTTTTTAGTCTGGATTCCGCCACCTCGTTTCCCGCATCTCCCTCTCTTCTCCACCAGCCTTTCTCCTCTGCAGGGCGCATGCTCAGTACGCGCTGTTTGGGGATGTGGGTGGATGTGACCGGCTTCGGGTCACCAAAGGAATGGTTTCATAACCTTCCGCCCTGGGCACCCACTGTGTCATAATCTACCGTGTGCACACAATGGCTCCCTTCTCTCTGCTCCCCGGAATCGGAGGCGGGTGTGGAAGCTGTGCAGGCCCCAGGGAGCTCAGAAAGTTGCATTGTGTCCAGGGCGCTCAGGGTGCAGGTGGCAGCCCAGAGGGTGGGCCGGTGTCTCGGTGGGACAGGCTGCTGGTCTGTTCTCAGCACGGTCACCCCGGAGGGCTGAGGGCGAGGTGTGTGCCCTCCCGGGGGTTGGGGGGAGATGTGTGCTGGAGAGGATGGAGAGCCACGGGGGTGGGGGGGGAGGTGTGTGCTGGAGAGGATGGAGAGCCGAGCAGGGACAGAGCGCCTTCTGCTTTGCCTTTGGTGACAAAGGGAGTTCCCTCTCCCCGGCTACACTCTGCACGGCTACCAGAGGCCCAGTGAGGCGGGCAGTCGTGGTGGGGGGGAGGCTGCGGGTGTCCTCGCCCTTCCCCCACCCTCCCCCTTGGCCCAGAGGCCTAGAGATGTGTATTCACAGCACCGTGACCACTCACACGCTTGCAGTGGTTTGGGGCGCACTGCAGCCTCCGACACAGTCTCTCTCCTTGAAGGCTGGCTGTGACGGGGAGAGCATCGGGAACTGCCCCTTCTCTCAGCGCCTCTTCATGATTCTCTGGCTAAAGGGCGTCATATTTAATGTGACAACAGTGGACCTGAAAAGGTAAGACAAGGTTCCTGCGTTATCGAAATAACGGCTTATCTCACACACACACACACACACACACACACACACACACACGGCATTATCTGGGCGTGTCCATCCTGGGTCAGGACCCCGAGTTGGCCCGACTGTGGGTGAGCAGCAGTTACAGGCCCGGGTCAGAGGGAATCAGGAAGGAGTAGGAGTTGGGGCGCCAGAGGAACCTGCTCCCCAGTTCCTGCTGAGCCATAGCTTCCCACAGGCCCGTGAGCTCCACTCCTGGCTGGGCCTGGGGAGAGGTCACTCTCACCTCCGTGTCCAGAGCCGGCCACACGGTCACTGCCCTGAGACGCACGCCAAGGCCCCGTCTCCTCTACGTTCTCAAGGGTGGGTTCTCTTTAATGGGGAGGACACGCTACGCCTTGGAAACGGAGCTCAGCTGTGGCGGCTGCTGACCAGGCTGCTGTCTGCCCCCCTCCCCGCCCCCC